TTGTATGACAAGGGCACAGTGTTCGTGGCTTGACTTCACGATTTTCACTATCTATCGATCCTTCCCGCAGGAGCTCTTTATGCGCGCCGCAGATCACGCACTGGCAACTATGGATACGTTTCTTGGAAGAAAGTTACTTCAAGCAGAGACTATCCCCTGAACGTGGTACATGATAAGCAGTTTCAGTTAAAGACCGATATATCTCCCACTGACTGAAGATACTGAATACATCTAAATGCTGAGAGATTAGCTTATGAGCCCATTTTGAATGGGATATATAAAATCCGATCTTAAGCCCAGCAAGAATTGGGCAACTTTAGATTACGTGTTGAATGGGAATTTGTATCATTTGCCAGGTTGATGCTTGTTCACCAACCATGGAAGTGTAGGACAAAGCAGCATCAAGAGGAGACTTGCCCAACAATGATGCGTCATGTCTTTTCATTGGTCAATTCACATATGTGCTGGTTGGTGGTTTGGAACATGTTTTTTTTCTCCATATATTGGGAATTTCATCATCCCATTTGACTAATATTTTTCAGAGGGGTAGGTATACCACCAACCAGGTGTCAATTTTGAAATCCCCATGAGAGACAGAATGAAAACACAGTTTCGATCCCAACTTCGCCGGGCCGGGCGCTTTCATCCAGTTTCATCCGATGGATGTTGATATCCCCAACTTCAATGGCCGGTTGGGATACCATCTGGTAAACATACAAAAAACTATGGAAAATAACCATGCTATTTATGGGTAAATCAACTATTTCTGTGGTCATCAACTATTTCTATGGTCATTTTCGATAGCTACGTTCAATGACCAGAGGGTACCCCTATCTCAGACACGTTTTTTTCGAGTGTTGTCATTGAATCAATAGCTACGTTCAATGACCAGAGGGTACCCCAATCTCAGACACGTTTTTTTCGAGTGTTGTCATTGAATCAATAGCTACGTTCAATGACCAGAGGGTACCCCAATCTCAAGCACGTGATTTTTTTTGGTTGTGTTGTTGGTTTTGTTGACGGAATCCATGGTGTTTCTCCTAATGGGTTGGCCCTGTGATTCCCAAGTGCCACATTTCGGGGCCATGTGTTTGATCCGAGGTTTCAAAAACGTTCACGGCCATGTCTGCTGGTTGGTGGTTTTTATGGCTTTTATGATCTTCCAGAAACAGTTGGGAAGGAATAATGAATTTCATAACCACTGACTTTAACAAACATATTGTTCAGAGGGGTAGGCGAAAAACCACCAACCAGTTACAGTTGTTCATCCCTTGCTCTTTTAATCTGCCCACATGACTCGCATGGCTTTGACTTGAATAGTTCACCCCAATCCCATGTTTGAGAAAACGCTCTTTCAAACCAAAAAGCTGTCCTGGGGTATACCCAGTATACCCCGCTTTTGGATAAATCCATACTCTAAGATATTAAAGTTGAACGAATGAACCAGTATGAGCGTATTAGGTGCGCAGGTGAATTTGCTAAAGTTGGCCGAAATCGCGTCCTGCTTGTGTTTTGTGAGTTAGTTTATTCACTTTGTTGAATTTCTCATGGGTTTGGCACTGATTGTAATTTAGACTGACTTCGCAGTTAGGTTGGTTTTCATTGTCCCCACGATGCGATGATGTTTAGATTCATTTCTAACACAGGTGCAACTCCTCACTCTTGACCCACTACTCACTCACTTCTTCTCCTCACCTCCACTTCTCAAATCCCTGGGCTAGTGCCCACTGGCTATAGCCAGCTAAGAATTTAAGCCAAGCAAATCTTGAAGCCTCCATTAGTTGCAAATCTGCCGATTCTAAGCAACCCGAAGTCCCGAAAGGACTGGGGTCTGGGTTTTGACATCCCCCGACGTCGTTCGATACGTCGTTCGGACGTCGTTCGGACGTCGTTCGAAACCGCTTCCAGCATTAAAAAAACTAATGTTTTCAGCTCACAAATCCAATCGCGAACAGCGAAACCGCTTGTGGAACCCGATGGTGGAAGAAGTTTTGGTTATATAATGATATCATGTAGATTTGGTTCGTCATCAGCGTCCCAATATGTTTTTGATATTTGTGTAACAACTTAGTACCATTTTAATATGTTTTGAGATGTGCGTCCACAATGTGTTTCCAAATTTTGAACACAACAGAACCTGAAAAGATAAAGCTTATCAGTCACCGGCGTCCCATGGGGATTTAGTTTGTTTTTGGTCAACCTGTTCAACTTCCTGATCCAACGGCGTCTCAATGGGTTTTAACACGTTCCCGTGAAATTGGTCAACTTTAACGTTCCGGGGTATGCTATCGGCTCAACAACTCCCATCTTATCGTATCATATCCCCATTGTATCCGCCGTTGATTGTAGATTTAAACAAAAGACTTCATTGTTGATGGTTATCTAGCTTAAGCCATTAAGATGGTTATCTAACTCTCTTATTGTTGGTTATTACCCACTATTAAATTAACTGGTATTAGTTATCGTTATCCACTTAGTTGGTAGCCGTGAATCCCATTTGATTCCCATGATCTCTTTATTGTTGATGGTTATCTAGCCGGCTTCAATCCCATATACCATCTGGTTATTTAACATAGCCATGGAACATCACCATTTTTAATAGGTAAACCATCTATAAATGGGCCATCTATACCATGGCGAACTGTTAGTCATAACCAGAGGGTAAAATCCCAGGATTTCGGAGAAAATCCCCCAATTTGTTGGATGCTACATATAAGTCAGTATATTCAGTGAGAGCACCAGCAGGTATCAGCCCATGAACTTTTCCATGCTAGTCTACGTGTCTTGGCAGATATCGCTGTGTTATTGTTGTTGCGCTGTGTTACTTTTTTGGGGTAGATGCGGGCAAACATACCATGCATATCCATGCATGGATGATTTGGGACATGTTTTGGCCACAAGGTTTCACGTTTCAGGTGTCCCCTTTCAGAAATCTGTGAGCAACGAATTCTAACTCGAAAAAGTACCCTCTCATAAATTAACATAGCTATGGAAAATATCCATGATATGATATAGGTATAGGCGGTATAGGTAAATCCTCTATAAATTGGCGATGTTTCAGAGTTGGAGTACCAATCTTGTGGGAATTGTAGTAATTCTTAGGACCCGTATACAATATGGATGCCATATCCCATATCAATGGGCCACATTAGCACCCATAGAGAGTTTCATCCTGTCAGGGGATTCTACCAATGGTCCCATTGAAAGCCCATTAATTGGGCTCGTCGTGTACAGCTATGCTCGTGTTAATATACATGACCCACAGTAGGCAGTTGAAAGAGAAGAGAGCCCATTCTCACCAGAGAGGGTCAGATACAGACCTTTGATTGCTGGAAGATGATAACCCCGAGGTAAATCCATATAGACATAGAAATTTATGGTTCCCCAGGAAATCATCTATACATCCCTTGAGCCAACTGTGAAATCTTCAGGATTGAAAAGCAAGTTGCTGACTTGCCAAGTATCTTGCTCTCTTGATCTTGGATGCTTTTCCAGGGAAATCTACACCTTTTAGCATATGACTTCCATCTTGGAGGTTGTTAGTTTACCCCTAGCATCCCGTAACTTACCATGACATGAAATCAAGGAATTATATGCATATGACATACTAATAGGTTCAAAAAAATACCCTCATAGACGTTCAGAATTCTCATAGAAATCCCATAGTTGAAAAAAAACACTAAACAATCTCAAAACTATACGTCAAAAAACATATCTTTTAGGAATCTTATAGAAAGCTTGATTCTTCCTCCAAGACGCAGCCGTCCCCATGTTCTGAGGCCTTTTCCTTGGCTCATTTGTCACATCAGGATCTCTTCGAACAGGTGGCAACACCATGCTGTGCCCCCCAAAAAAGATGATTTAATCAGCAACCATATAGAAATATAGTTTTACATATATATATATGATATATGTATTATTACTATTATTATTAGTAGTATGATCATTATTAGTATTGTTAATCGTATTATTATTGTGATTATGGTGTATTCTGTCTTAAATTGATTGTGATATATATATATATATATGTTACAGCTATAACCAACTACACACCCTATTACATTAATTGTTATATAGAATATGTTTAATCAATGGTATACGTATGTTTATCACCATCAAGTTAAACATCAGATGAGCTTTCAAAATTACGTCTTTTGTTGCGCTAATTCAGCACATCGTTTGGTGCCGAATTCCCTTCGTCAGGTGGCAAAAAGATGTACCGTGCCAGCGTTGAAACACTCATTTTCAGCCCGGGAGCCGAGCAGTGAAGGATCATGATCACCGTGGTTCGCCGTTTCACAGCGATTGATGTGATTTTGCATCGCCTTTCTGAAAGCCACAGCCCATGGAAAACGGTGATTCCTGAGATATGCCGCAATGTCAATGTGGCATGGTCTATTTCTAGGTCTATTTCCATTGAAAATGACTCAAGTGTCTCAATGTTATTTTTCTGAAATCCTACAAGTCGCTTAGACATCCAATTTGTTTTCACCTGGCAGCAAGATGGCTGACACACGGCAAGGAACATTCCACCAGATAGACTTTGAGTATCCTAACCGGATGTTCTAGGATGTTTTTATGTCGCATGTGTTCGGTTTTGTTCCCAGCAGTCGGTGTATATGTCGAACAATATTGAGAGTTGAAAAGGAGCCCAGATGGATAAACGACGATGCAAATAGATTTTTGTTAACTGTGTGCAAGAACTTCCGGCCGCTGCGGCTTTGTGGGTTCAAAGTGTTTGACACGGTAGTGGATCAAATGATCCATTCATGCAACTGCCTATATCCATTGTTTTAAGCTTGTTTTGAGCCATCGAAGACTTGGCCTTTTGTATCACATCTGCAACTTGGTGGTCAGCCAAGTAGGAAGCTACGGGGGAACATTGTTACAAAGGGCATCAGAGCGTAGTTCAACCCCCCAAAAAAACAGCAGTGATCGACGGGTTTCATCATTCATCGTTGGCCGAAAAATATCAAAAATGAGATCTGTCGGCCAATCTGATGGTCGGCGATGATGTGCTTCGTTCCGAGACCTGGATTTGCATTTCTGGCATGGCATTTTCGGTTTTCCACCTTGGTATCTGGCAGCCAATTCCCTTTTTGCTACAAAAAGAACTCAGAGGGTGGTGAAATATGGTGTTTGTACGATGTTTTATATACGTCTTTACTGAGGGACACATGTTTGGAACCTTTTGGTTGGACACTTGCCTGCTTTCCGCCAAGCTACAGCAACCTCGAAGTACGTGACAAAATGAAGAAAGTACCAAAAGGCAGGACTGGAAAATCCACTCCGCTGGACCATTTTTTTGAACCTTCCTTGGCATAAAGCCATGCAATACCATATGTTTTCCTTGGACTGGACACTTCTTTGTTGGTGAAATCCCCTGTTGTGACTCACATCTCAGGATGGCTACGGACGGCTTCCAGACTTAAACCTTCCAGAGAAGTTGTTTTGGGAGCAGCCTGAGCAAAGGATGGGGTGGCTTATGGGTGCTTTGGAAAACACCATGAAGGTGGGAAATGGTTATCCTGGAATAGCATGGAATAGCAAAGTGTCATTGAGTTGGCCGTGTGCAATAGAATGCAATAGATGCCCCGAAGAGTCTGGGGATTGACTAAGTATGCCAGGCTTTGGAAATGTCAAAGAGCTTGAATGCATCAGCATTTTGGGGACTGAATATGCAGTTGGCTTCATATCTGGGAAAGAATGGGATGGCTACTTTAATACTAACTAATCTATTGCTGTAAATTCTGATATCTTGACCTAACCAGTAAGAGACTTGTTTTTTGCGCTTGGTATCCACGATTGGGATATGAAATGATATGAATCATGGAGGGAAACCAAGGCTCTTTCTTCATTAAAACACCCAATTCTTTGCCATGAAAATAGGGTCGAACCATTAGCCCCAGGAGCCAACAAGTGAATTCTGAGCAGCTGCAACAGCTCTCTGACACTGGGCCAGCGTGAAATTCAGCAATTCCAGGGGAAATACTGGGAAAACCATATTATGTTTGTAATTGTGTACCTGTTTCCTTCCTTTTAGGGGATTTATAGAATTAAAATGAATAAACATATATGTGAACATACGTATTTTAACAATGGCCCCCAAGTTAAGCAAATCCCAGTTTATGGTTGGGAGATGGTGGATGAAAACTTTGGAACCCAGTCAAGTTACGTGGGATGAATGGATAAAAAGAGGGGTGTTTTTCTCGTCATTCCAGCAGGATTTCCTAAAAAAAACAAGTATAGTCCAAGTGTAGCGGTGCAAGCCTCTGAAATTGGGAGGACCATTTCCGGAAAATCACATCAACGAGCAAGTTTTGATCCATCTGAATCCATCCCTTTCTGGCGCACGATCCATCTGATTGTAATGACATCTTGACATCCTGGTGGCCTGGTTCTCTTCGCCTAGTTTTTTGCCCAAAAAATGGGATCAGTCAGAGGCATTTCAATAACATGTGTGTTCACGATCAGATTTTTCCAGGTGATTTCAAAGTTACTATGATTCATGGAGTTTGAAACTGTGTGTATTGTTTTTTTTGGCCCACGCGGAACTGGATAGCAAGATTCTTGAAGCCCGCAATGGGTCCACAACAAAAAAGCGTCCCCAACAAAAAAGAACACCGACTGCATGGATCTCACTCAAAGTTGCATCTACTTTTGCGCTGTATTCTGATGATTCAGGGAAGTTGGCAAGTGGTTAGCAAGAGGATTATAGCCCATTAGGGTGTGACTGAAAATGGGACATACCACCGAAATTGCTATGTTTGTGCTATTAAAATAAGGCCATGATGATCAAGCATGATGAAGCACTGGATGGAATGTGGATGATGCCCTGCCGAGGCAGTGATTGGAGGATCATCCCACTTAGTGAGACTTGTTGATAACCATGTTCCTGAACCAATTATGTGTGGGATAACAGACGAAATGCGGACTTTCTAACTGGAGTAACTAGGGTTATTGACCACGTACCAACTTCCAGAATCATCCAAGCAGAATCATCCAAGCACCTAAACGGAGGCTGATCCACAAATAATTAGTTCAAGGTCCAACACGGCTTCGTGGTTGCATCAAGAATTTGGCCCTCAAAAACTGGGGGATAGCCCTATATAGTGTACATGGATGGGGACAAATGATCTTAAACCATTGATTTTCGGTTCCAACTCTCCAAGAACCAACTTACCTGATGAACAAGCCCTATGCAAGTGACTGATTGACCATTTGATATCGCTTTTTTTGTTGCTTCGGTACCTGCTCTTCGTGCTAGATCCTTTTGTTGGGAGCTGATATAGCATCCCCTCCCCGAGCCTCCCCCATGTCGTAACCCTGAGAGTCCATGTGCTCTTACTATACTAATATTGTACCCTCTGGTAATTTAACATAGCTATTGAAAATGGCCATTTATAGTGGATTTTCCCATTAAAAATGGTGATTTTCCATAGTTATATGTCAGTTTACCAGAGGGTATCCATTGCGAGGCATGTTCAATGTCACTTAGTCTTCTAAATTCACCATGCAATTTCACCATGGGATCAAGACGTTGGCACTTCACGGCAAAGAACAAATCAGGTGTCCAAAAGTTGTGATTCCGACAAGTTGCCAGTTCGTAAGAGATGGTGGTTTCCTAAAATTGAGGTGCCAACATGTGCCATCTATCATATATAAGATATTTTCAGATTGTCTAACATATTCTAAACCAGGTACCAGCCAGCTATTGGGGTACCACCCATTACCAGCCTTTTTGGGAAACTCACCCCTGCCATTGATCAGTGGTTCCGTCAGTGGTTCCGCCATCCATTTTTCTGTACCAAGGATGCTCCCGCGGGGAAGATCTTTGGCTTTCCAGGCCGTTGAATCGATCTCGCCGCCTCGATCTCGATCTCTAGGATCCACAAAGGTTGAAGATGACGCCGGGCAAGGGGCCGGAAAGGCCCAGCACTTGATGCAGATGATCAAAAATATTAGCCATTGAGAAGGGTGATTTACCCATTGAAAATGGTGATTTACCCGTTGAAAATGGTGATTTTCCATAGTTGTGTTCGTTATATCCGGTGGAATGGGGATGGTGATGAGATTTGGTGAGATACCCAACCTGGCTGGTTGGTGGTTTCAAACATGGCTTTGATGACTTCCATAGATGGGATGTCATCCCAACCCCATTGACGAACTCCATCATTTTTCAAGATGGGTATTGCACCACCAACCAGTGATCAATATGCGAACAATATGCGAACCATGGTGATGGAATATGAATCCCAACATTTGCCCGAACCAAATCACCCAGTTGTGTAGGTAAATATACCATACATGGAGCATATGGGTTATCATATTTCATAGTATGTCATCATATTTCTCAAATCCACGACATGTATCCACCTTCAAGTTTGGAATGCATAGAAGCGAATAAATTTACCTCGATATGGATTTGCACTTGGACCTTTGAATGGATGCAGCATCATGACAGGTGGCCATTTGCATAGCCATTTCAATAAGGGTGATTGTTAGCGCATTTATTGGTTCCTGGATACATAGTATAGGAATGTATAGGACATGCAAGTACTTGGACATGCATTTATATAATTCGGACCCATGAATCTAAGTGGGAATATCAACCATTTATGGACCATTCCCTCAACCAGCATAGACCCAGACAATCACGTTGTTTTATGTTGGAAAGAAGTATCTTCCAGCTCCCAATTCATGGTAGGGTCGATATTTTTTTTTATTTGGCCTATGGTAACCCATAGTGTTAGTTTCATTGTATTATATACACAGATATTCCCATTTCGAGACGGTTAAACCAACTTCAAACACCATGTTTTAGGGTGAAGCCATGTTACCATCCCCCAAATCAACATAGACTCCGAGAATCACAATGAATCACCCGTTCTTAGTGGAGAGTAGTTTTCCAACCTGCTATTTGGCAGAATTTATGTTAGTTGGGGGAGGGTTCATATTCCTCTTCATATATTCCAATTGTCCCAATACTATATCCCACTTAATCCCAAGTATATCTCCATTAAGTCTCCATTATATCCCCATATCAGTTGATCAAATCCCCACGGAATTGCAGCACGAATTCCGATGATTCGTGCACTGGTCACTTTTTCAGCGAAGGTGGACTGGAACTGGGCAGCCAGTCTTGCAGCTCCATCATGGTGGAGAAGATTTTTCATTCAGCCTCCAATGCGCGGCTGCTGCACCTGCAGCCAGGTACCTTGCCAAGTTGGTTGCGGTTTAGCTAGGCTAACGGCGATGACATAACTAAAGTTGATGGGTGTCTTGACTAATTGAGAATCTTATGGAATCGTATTTCAATACCTAATTAAGGTAAATACCTGATTTTTTTCGTAGGAACTAAAGATAACTAATGTTCAGTCGTTGTTGGGTGTTTCACATTGAGCGTTCAGATTTTGGGGATTTCGATCATGGCATGGGAAGCCCTCCGGATATGTTTAGCAACCGAAAATGGACGAGCTCGAAATGTAAAATCCTAAATTTGATTTCTGTTCGAGAGAACTTGTTCATAGACCTCCCTTTTTTGTGGAGCTTTGAAGAGGGGAATGTCACAAGAAGGAACCACTGAAAGGGTTCGAATCGTTGGGTGTAACTGCCACCAAGCTTCCTCATCACTACAAATAATTCGAGGAAGTCAGCATATTGGGAAGACACTGGGATCCCAAATTCGGCATGATATCTTGGTTAAGCTGAAATCGATAGGATTATCTGAAGTTTTTGTTTGGGGGGGTTGTGGGAATGGCAATTGGATAGAACAATTGGTGCATCTTTTTCTCATTTTTTCAACCTTCCCCTGAACATGACTGGACTAGTTATGTGCAAACATGGGGACAGATCAAACCCTATTATACCGTACCAGCTATCTTGGGCTTCATCAGGTCACCAAGTTTTTCATCCACATCTCAGGCAATTCCAAGGTCATTCTCAAGTTCGCAGACGTCCGTCGTGAATCGGCCATCATGTCTGCCTTGAAGAAGATGAATGAGCTCTGGAAGAAACTGGAAATCCGAGCCCCTAGCAGATGAATGGAGGGCTGATGTCAGGTGCTGATGCTGGATACATATAAAATAAGTACAAGGTGGTGTCCCCATTCGAGCTCGCGTTCAGTTGGGGGCCACATAACTCCAATTTCACTTGGTTTTTGTTGGTGATACATCGAACTAGTTTTCATGGGGTGAATCTAAACCACACCTTGTAGACATAGCTGACAAGCATGATGACCTCCCTATCAACCATGGTATAAACCAATAAACATAACCTTTTGGGGGGCACCACCTTACGTATCTAATCAAGGCCAGAGACTTGGTCCATCTTGGTCCCTTGGACATGTTGCTGCTGTTTCTCGACCAACTGTTGGTCCCCTGAAAAAATCCCGGGCATCTATGGTTTCTTGGGTCTGACATCTGGTTTTGAGATGGATATCCTGGACATGCGTCAAAGTTATTTATCCCAGAAAAATGAATATGACATCAATACATCAATTGATCAATGTTGTATATGGACTCAAAGCAATAAACATCAATTTTTCACAACAAATGAGTTATACAGTCTCAACAGAACAATATCTGAAGACCCAAAGAGTTCGGTCATCTCTGTGGGTCCGGTGGTTTTTTTTCATCCAGACCCTTTTTTCAGACGTCCGAAGTCCCTTGGAGCCGAGCCAAGGCTTGTGGTAAGTTGGTGCAAACGTTGACCTATGAGATCCATCCCTTGGGGGAAGATGCTGGATATGTTGCTCCTTGGACGTGTGGTGAGATCATCGGGGCAACGTTTTCCCATGGTTTGTCATCACTTCCCCATGCAACTTACAACGATTTACAACGTAACTATATCCTTAGATTTACCCTTTGGTTATGACTAACGTAGCAATGGAACATCACAATTTTTAAGAACTGTAAATCATCATTTTCCATAGCTATGTTAAATAACCAGAGGGTAACTTAGAAATCTTGGGGTATCCGGGTATCCCTCATTTTTGAGAAACTTAAGTAAATCCATTGTCAAGGGGTTTCACACCAGATACCAGGAAGGTTCTCAGTTTTTTTTGGGGTAGCAAATATTCCATCCAGTTTCTGGATGAACCTTTTGAAGGATCATACCAAATAATGTACGGTAAACCCAATGTCATAAACCATCCCCAAAATCAGCATCTTTATGGGTGGTATAGACATCCCCAAAACCAAATGGTCGGTTATTGTTGCGTTGGTCATATTGGGGAGATTCATGTTCCAAAGCCATGTGTGATCTCGGGATCATGTTGGATGTCAAGGGGACTACACCCTGTTTTCAAAAGCAAGGCCTGGTCTCAAGGCCTGGGAGGACCATCCAAATTGTTTCAATTGCAAAAACATATCGTAAATGTGAGATTTCATGGCGAGAATGAGGTTCACTCGTTCGGGATTACTCCAACCGACGTAGATTACAGTAATATCATTGCCACAAGAGGGAAGCAGAAGGGTCATTTTGCCTCTATACTTCACCCATTTTGTGGCCCAACTGGCTCCATTGCGTGTTCGGAGCAACCCTGACAAAGCTCCAAAACAATTGGGAATTGGGAATGATAAATTCAATCTCAACCAGCGAAAATGATGAATGCCATCTCAGTTTTCATGCGGAAAACTGTGCGTTTGTTTGGGATATCCAAGTTTCTAGGAAAATCATAATGGCCTCACTGTTCTCCCTTGCTGAAAGTGTGGTTAGTAAAGGGAATTAACCCCAAATGACATTATTTCAGGTTAGTCAAGATTTTAATTTACCCGGATGCCCTGATGGATCTAATATCCTAGGTCCTAGCTAATATCCCGATGGTTGGTGATATCCCCATTCTATCTCCATATCCCTATTCAAGGTCATACGATTATATACCCACGGTGCTGCACCAGTTGATAGGTGGTATACACATGCCATTATTTATAGGCTTTCAACCATCCTGTTGGTGATGCAGGATTTCCTCCATCCACAGTACTAACAAAGACATTTCAACTGGGCTAACAATATTTCAACTGGGTCAATGAAATTTTCCAACTGATATGAACAATAGGTGATTGATTGGTGGTATACCTACCCCTCTGAAAAATGATGGAGTTCGTCAGTTGGGATGATGAAATTCCCAACTTTTTATGGAAAGTCATAAAAGCCATGTTCCAAACCACCAACCAGATGATATTTCATGATATCCCCATTATATCAATTTACGATGTTTGATACGACCCACCGAACGGCCATGCCCCGCAAAGCCCTGCAAAAGTTAGGAGGCTGTGGGGGACGCGTGGAATCTTCGGGAGCTGGCCAAAGAGTGGCTGGGCCGGAAAAAAACCATTGGATAGTAAGGTGATTTTGGCCATGTGAATTTGGATAGTAAATTTGGATAGTTTTGTAATTTCCATAAATTTACTATCCAAATATGTGGAATGATGGTTGGAATGCGATCCATGTTTGAAGTATTGAAGATATTTGGATATCCAAAATGATTAATGTATATTAATGTTGGATACGGATTAGTGTAGGGCCCCCCCAACAAAATTAGGCTACTCAATAACTCGGCATTTTCTTGGGAACCAGTCCTGGGGGATTCAGGATGATCAACTTAAGTAAGGATTTCAATTAACATCGATCTTCTTTCAATTGATTTTCCTTTTAAACCTTAAAGAAATCTAGTGATAAGAAAGGATTTCAATTGAAAACAAGTTGCTTTAAATTCATGTGAATCTACTTTCAATTGTGCAAATAAGTGTGCAAATAAACAAGTGTGATTAAGTATTTGTTCTTGAACCATTTGTTCCTACTGAAAAAAAAATGGATCTGAGAAACCACTTCTCACAATCGAGTTTTTTTCAAAGTTTTTGAAAATACTCAATATTTTTTGGGAATTGTCTCACAATAGAGTCCCATGACACTAATCCGGATCCAACATTACTGTGACATCATTGGCACGATGGTTAGGATTCAGGTTTCATCACTCCCTTATCTCATCATATCTCCGCTATTTTCAGCATGGTGATTTGTTATCATTCAGCCAGCATATAATGGGGATAACATTGTGTTTTATTGGATATAGCTGAAGGTTGATACTTGCTAGTTCATCCAGGTTAGAATCGCAGTCATGTTCTGAATTGGGCGATCAGTCTACTTACCCTCTGGTAATTTAACATGGCTATGGAACATGGACCATTTCTAGATGATTTACCTATAAAAAAATGGTGATTTTCCAGTTCGCAAACTGTAAACGTTTACCAGGCCGGGCAAAAAAAAACCAGTTATAACCAGGCTGATACGCCATAGTGATGCGAATCGTGGGATGAATCAGCGGGACTTAGATGGGTTTGATATATCTGGGTACATTTCATAACGACCTCACTGTTTTCCCGAAGCCTGGAATCATGGTTAATAAGAGGAATCATATGGAATCATCCCCAAATGGGCGCAAGATTCAGGTTCGTGAAATATGATAATTTACCCAGATATATGTCCCACAAGAAGTTTGAACTTAGAGCAGGGAATCGACTTAAAACACCATGAATTCTTGAGAAGTGTGGGCAGTCAAGGATTTTCTTGCCTTGAAGCCATGAGAAACTCTTATGCAATCACAGGTTGGGTACACCGCTGCTTTTTTGGGTTACCCCCAAGGTGTTGATGATCTTCCCCAATGATTCCCCATTTCAAAAATCTCTGTTGCTGATGCGAAACGTCACGATGTTTCAAAAGGCGAAACGCCCACATGGCGATGGTGAAATACCGTTATACCACCATGATTCACCATGATTCATCCCATCATTCTATTGGTGAAGCAATATATAATACACCAGCCATATTGTTGAAGGATTCTACCATCAAGACGGTCCATTTGGGGATGGTGGTGTTCCCCACATTGCTTGAACCAAGGCCCGTGGACCGACATATGCGTATCTCAGCAAGCATTTGGCACTGTGTATGTGTGTGCCTTGAGTGCACCCAAGGGGTGGGGTGCCAGAAGATCTATACACTATACATCTATACATCTATCTATCTGTCTGTCTGTCTGTTTGTCTGTCTATCTGTCTGTGTATCTAATCTAATTCAATCCAATCTAATCTAATCTAATTCTAATCTAATTCAATCCAATCTAAATCTAATCTAATCCAATCCAATCTGATCTAATCTAAATGAAATCTATTTGTTTGCCTGCCTGTCCATTGGTTTATCCATCCATCTGTCCATCTTTTGAGAGGTTACAATCCGTTGATGATTTCGGCCAAGGCGTTGTGAAGGTGCTGCCTGATGCAGACTCCCTAAACACCTTAGCGGCTTCAACGGTGGCATCTGGGACCTGCGCTGGTTTCTGTTTGGTCAACAAAGGTTTAAAAAAAACTGATATAGGCTGGGGATGATAAAGTACGGTTAATTCATGGTAATTCCCAAGTTAATTCATGGTTTCCTGTAGGTTTTCTCTGGAAGTAGTAACTTCATCCCGCAGGTGGCAATGGCTATCTCTGTCATGACAGATCACTGGTTCGGAAACAGCTATATGACTGTATAACTGACATATATTCCACATATGACTAGTTTATATTATGGTTATTGACCCAATTTATATGAAACACCTTCCAGAAACCAGGAGATCACGTATTTGGAACCACAAAATGGGGGTGTTTGATTTTAGGGGAAGGGGATTACCATCCCCCCTGATTGTATCCATAAAATGGATGAACTAAGTGTCGTTCCTACCTAGTTGCTAGGTTGAGTGGTCCTCTAAGTGTCTCCATGTGTGCCAGCCGCGCATGGCTCACCAAGGCATACCTCACCTCGGGATATGCCTTAGGCCTTCGTGTGCCTCGACGACGTTGGTTAAGCCCCGGGGGTATCCTGTCTGAACATAAATTTTTGAGGATGGAACTTCGACAACTGGTTGGTGGTTTCAAACATTTTTTATTTTCCATAATATATGGGATAATCCTTCCCATTGACTAATATTTTTCAAGATGGTTAAAACCACCAACCAGACAAGAGTGGTGCTCAAAAATTTGCTGATTCAAGGAGCTTTGGGATCATATAATCCACCTAGGTGGTGTCACAAAGGTTTTCAGAACTCATGAGCTCCGAAACATTGATGATTGATATTCCGAACAACTTCGTGAATCAGAGGAAAACCAGAAACTGATCACAACTAATCCATGGTTGGACAGTCCACTAGCCAATACCTGAAAGGTGGTGCTTCGCATTTCGCATGTCACATTTGGCGTCGTTCACCGAGGACAGCCATGATGACAACATTATGCTGCGAAGCGACGGATTTCTGTTTCGAGTGGACTTTGGTCTCTGGGCAATTCTGGTGGGTCCGTGGGTGGATCTATGGTGAGAGCGTTCAATTTTCATGGGAGAGAGTGTCATGTTTGGGGGGTTGCCATAAATGGGGGTACCCCAGCTGGATGGTTTAGAATGTTTTACAATGGTCAATCCGAAAATGAAATAGATGATAATTGGGGGTAACCCCATGACTTGGGAAAGCTCCATTTGGAAGAGAATCTTCACGGACCAACTAGTTAAATAGTCGTATTGCAGGGTTATAGAAGGGTCAAGGACAAATACAGAGGGATCAGGCTAGATCCGTCCTCTGGTGTATCTTGAATATTCATGATTATTTTCATTTGATACAGGAAAGATGAAAAATTGCAGGAGTCTTCTATCATTATCCTTAAATGGAGTGCAGTGTGTACCCGTACCAGATTGAAACTCAAGGTGGTATTGTCCCCTGAAAGTCTGTTGGGAATGTCTCATGGGGATTCAACCACCACCCAAAAGTGAGTGATGGCTTGCTGAGGGCGATTCTTAACCACCAACAACCACGACATCTTAAGGCGAATCTTAAGCATCTATTCGGGGGTGGCTGAATTCCCATGATCAGTATGAATGGCAACCTCTTAAAACTGACATAAACAGGTAGAAAGAAAGAAAAGACACGTAAATGGAAAGAAAAATAGATACAGCACATCGTGAATTTTGAGAATACCATCCGGTGTCATCAAACGTCGCTAGGGGGAACATCATCCATTTATAGCTGATTTGTCCATTAAAACCTCCATTTGAAATTTATACAGGATGTTCCCGTTAAAACATCCGTTTTGGTTGGGGATTTCCCAAAACATCCTCCATTTAGGTCGGGGATGTTCCAGCCAGGTTTGAAGACCTCAGAGTAGGCCGGATTCGCACTGCCCAGGCTACGTGTTTGGAGCTTCTCCAGCTTTAGATGCTCCACCCACAGTGGTGCCAAATGCAGTGCTGGTGGCATTGGGGGAAGCAAGATGGAAAGAGGTGGGCAGTTGGGTCGGTACTTGGGTGTAGTTGAGCTTATCAATGGGTATAGTTACTGGAATAACCTCCATAAATAATAGATGTTGGGCTACTGTATCACCTCTATGATAAGTTGGGATATAACATGATATAACCTCTATGATCATGGTATTTTTCCTGTTATAATTGGAATTGCACCTCCAGTGGTAAACCACAAAGATGATGGATTGGAACATGGGAGATTTGACCATCAGACTGAAGAAGAAACCTCCAAGTCTACCAGGAGTATGTTTTGATTTCTGCATCTATTTCTTTAACTTTGTTTGCTAGAAATTTGGTTAATGTTGGCACAGTTGTTGCAACCCGAACATGTTGCGACTCCTCGAAACTTAACATTGAATCCCCTGCTCCAGCAGGAAAGCATATCTGCATCGTATCCCTCAAGTCTGCTTGGTAAGTACCCTGAATTACCCTGCCAAGATAAGGCAGTCGTGAACCGGGAGGTAAGTGGCATGCTACACACAGAATGACTAGGAGTTGAGATACAACAAATCGCCACAGTTGCTGTTCTAGTCATGCCCAACATTGGATTGGTAGTTTAATCCCTGTAGTTGGTGTAGCTATAAATGGAAAATATATGGACAAATAAATACCAATAAACTGTGATTTCTTTTTTTTGTGGGCTGCCAAAAATTGACCATGTATCATGTTTCAAAACAGTGGAGCTGATCACAAAAAATCATGAAAAAAAATGGGTAAACTGCTGGGCTTGGGGCTTACTATACAGCTGGGAGCTGATCACTGTTGGGAGCTGATCACTGTTGGGAGCTGATCACTGAAAGAATGTCCTTCACTGCGATTCCCAGCAGGTGTCCATCGTGTGCGAGCGTGCTCTGACGCTTAGCTGATGGAAGATGTGGATATTCAATCATACATATAGGTTATAGACATATATATATATATACATATATACATACACATAGATATACAATGATACATTATATAATTATATATATATGTATTATAGACTAATTTGGCTTTGTCTGAAAATAGGAGGATACCAGCGAAAATCGCCATCCAATTGCAGAGGGAAAGTGATGATTTTCTATCTAACCCATTGGAGTTGGGGGTGCCCGGGGTGCCCTGTATTTAACACACCCATATTATCTAATATAGTATATATATATATATGGTGATTTATGGTGATTTATAGGGGATATAATGGAATTTACCCTCTGGTTATGACTAACAGTTTGCCATGGAAAGATCCACCATTTTTAAGAACGGTAAACCATCAATTTTTATGGGTCATTTCCTATGTCATTTCCTATGGCGAACTGTTAAATAGCCAAAGGGTAATATAAATAATAAATAATATCCAACAACAGAATAGCCATCCAATAATTCAATAAGAATATGATATCCAAAACAATTATAATCTATCATAATACTGTTCTACATATTCTGAACTAATCCATGAAATAATGCCCATGTTTCATGAAATGCAATTTGTCCAACCAAATAATAGACCAACTGGATTGGATGAGTTGATATATCTGGGTAATTTATAGCAACCTCACTGTTCTCCCGAACCCTGGAATCATGGTTAATACGCGAAATCATCCCTAAATGGCCTTAATTCAGGTTAGTGAAATATGTTTATAATTTACCCATATATATATATATATAATGTCCTGTATAAAATGTGTACAAAAGTATAGATGTCTATATGATTACATGAAATAGTCTGTACGTACTCCGCAGCAACCTACATTCATACATTTTCCAAAATAGACCGGCATGATGAGGAATTGCAGTCTGTATTGAATCCATTGGACCTCTACCCAGATGCTGCAAGCTGTGGATAAATGCTGTTGCCAAACAGACCATTTGTATGAGTTAAAATCTTACATTTGCATAGGTACATAATCCATATTGATATTATTCATGCATTATGTATGAATACAGATTGGTATATTGATGTACCCTCTGGTAATTTAACATAGCTATTGAAAATTGCCATAGAAATAGTGAGTTTTCCCATAAAAAATGGTGATTTTCCATAGTTATGTGACAGTTTACCAGAGGGTATATTGTAGAGCGTCGCACACAGGCGCTGCTGTCAGGGTTGAGTGTCTTGGGTGAGGCTGTAATATAGTTCTGGGTAAATTATAACGACCTCACTGCGACCTCACTGGAATCATGGTTAGAAAGGGAAATGATCCCCAAATGGCCTTAATTCAGGTTAGTGAAATATTATAATTTACCCAGATAGTTGTTCCTCTGGTTATTGCTGAGGCTACTCATACTGCACACGGCAACGACATTATCTAGCGGTTTCTTGTAATTGTAAAGAAAATATACGACGTAGGAGGCGAATAAGAAAGTATCGCCTAGCCTTTTTGGTCATGCATTACCATTACCATTCGCTTTTCGCCTTGCAAAACACTGTTTATCTTGACCATTGAAGCTTTAGCATCCTCCCATTCCCATTGGTTATCCCAATTTTGCTTTGAGTTAGGCATCCCTTATTACACAGAATAGGGGATTCTTTTATTCCATTATATCCAGTGAATCATATCCCCATGATATACGCGTTTGTCCTATATATGTACATCCCATTAGACAATATATTCCATTGGTTCTCCAAAGATGTTGTTTTTAGTTATCTCTCACTACATTCCTCTTAGATACCTTATTATACCTTCTTACATCCATATTGTTCGATGGTTTCCCCATTCCAACATGTTTTTTTCAAATTAGAAACTATAGTGATCTTCTGAACTCCCAAAGCCTATCTGGCAGGGTCTATGTCTATGTTTTTACTGGCGGTCAGAGCATAGAAAGTTCGATGGTTTTCCCATGAAAAAAAACACAGGATGGCCATCTCCGGGGACGGCGAAGCACCTGGCTGGGCCTGTGTCCGTGCAGTGCCTGATGCTTGGATGGAAAATCCCAATGTTCAGCTCGGTGCCATGTCACTAAACAGTTTTGAGCAGCTAATGGATTCCAAGTTAGAACATGGTACCCTCTGGTAAACTGTCACATAACTATGGAAATCACCATTTTTTATAGGAAAACTCACTATAAATTGACATTTTCAATAGCTATGTTAAATTACCAGAGGGTATGGTTATTGATGTGCATGGTTTTTTTGAGATGATTCCCTGGAAGATATGTTCAAAACTTTATAGTATGATTCATATCATGCGATATGTCACCTTACGCTACAATCCGTGAATGCCTAAAGTTCAGCAAGAACATCATTCAATGTAGTAAACCTAGTAACTTCTAATAATCATTGTTTTTTGTTTGCTTGTTTTTTTTAAATCTGTTTTTTAATTACACCCATTTGTTTTTTTCGTCGGCAGCGTACGGTTGATGCTGCGAGGAGATGGCACTACTTCATCACGAGGCGTATCAATATGTCCAAGGACCGATTTCATCACGACCGAAGCCTGTTCTCCCGAAGCCTGGAATCCTAAAACCAAGGAAAAAATAAGGGGAATCATCCTATGGCCGCAAGATTCAGATTAGTGAATTATTATAATCTAGCCAGATATATATATATATATATGTCTGTTTAAGGACGTAATAATCCATTAGGATCACTTATTATCAAGTATAACGTTACCATTGTTTAAGTCTGAGTTTGAAAACCATGTGTGCCTCAGTGATGAAGACTGATGAAGAATCATATTGAAACATCACCATTGATGAAACCTTCTATCATTATTTGCATTATACATATTATACCATCTTGTAATCAAACATGGCTGGCTGGAAAATCCACCCATTTCCAGATGATTTTCCATTAAAACATTCAACAAACTTCCATTTATAGGGGATTTCCAATTGCTATGTTTGATTACCAGAGGGTACCACCATTTTTCTTGGTTAAATCGCCCTTTTACATGTATCTTGAGTCCTGGAGCTGCACGCGCGAAACCGCAGTCAGGACTCTCTCTGGAGGACTTCCGAGAAGAAGTTCGGAATGCTAAAGTCCTCCAGCTGCACCAAGGGTGCCACCAGCTGGTCCATCACTAATGCAGTACAATAGGGCATTGAGAGGGTATTAAAATGGTATATAAATGGATAGATGGATAGATGGATAGATGGATAGATGGATAGATGGATAGATGGATAGATGGATAGATAGATATGGATATGTGTCAAAATGCGGCCCCAGAAACGAGGATAGGCTTTAGACAAGTCAGATTTAACCAACGGAAAAACCTTTCGGCAATTAGATGTGGCAGTATATTTCCTCAGGTTTTTGGAAATAATTTTTAAACTATGGATATCCTTATGCGGGATTTTTCAGTACCAGCTTAGATTGCCAGAGGTGCCTGTTGACGCCCAATTTTTATATCTGGTTTGGTACCTTCAGCATTTATTTCTTCCACCCTGGGGAGTAGTTGGTTTTCAAGAGGGATCTGGTTGTGCTCCGAAATTATTCGCTCCCAAACTGAACACATATATCCCTCATTGAAAGCAATGTGAAATCTAGAAGAATGGGATTAATCTACATGTTCTAGGCTTTGAACAGCCGGCTCTTGATTTTGAGCTGTTTTGAACTCTGTGCTCTACCATTGGACCATCTTGGTCCCGCAACGTATTTTCTATGTTATCATTCACGCACCATCCGATGGTATCTAAAAAAGCCGACTGTTAAAAAACGGCAAAAATGACCAGTCTGTAGGTATATCTATAAACCACAACTATATATAGGTTATATATATATTATATATATAGATATATGTATAAAGTGGTAACTATAGATATAAACCACAATTCAACTATCTTGGGGGCCAGAAATTGCCATCCAGTATTAAAGTATTAAAACCCCCATGTTTGGGTCGCAAAGTTGGAGCTATTTCACGTATAAATGGGGCTATGACCTACTTGCTAAGTAGAATACACCACCAGGTACCTCGCCAAATCTTATGCAGATCCAGATGTCCAGATTACAAGACATGTCCAGATTGCTAACAAATCCACAAAGATAGTTTGTAGCCTAAGATTATTTATAGATGATTTTCACCCCATTTAAGATGATTTTCCTGGCAAAAAGAAACCTCTATTTACTTCGTGGATTTTCCAACCCGCCACGTTGACGGCACAACATGACCAGACTCCCCACCGTTCCTCACGACGCGCCATCCAGGACTGGTCCATGTCACGTTTTGCCAAAAATCGCTTGCGGGAAGTGGTGCGATATTGGAGACACGGAGAGGCGCGGGAGAGGAGACCAAGATCAGTGTCTAGAACATGTGGGATAATACATCCAAAATAAGACGAATTTACAATTTTTTTATAGGGGAATGATTGGGGGATACCTCCAAAATAACGTAAATAGGGAAGTGTTTTGGGGGCATCCTATTCTCAGTTCGACCCTGATGTTTTGATTTTTGTTCATCAGGCCCTCTAATAATATATAATCAAGTGGACCCAATTGTTGCGTTGGTTCCCTCCTGTACTGAAAACATGGATCACTGGCTGGTGATACATTCCATCACTTGGCCAAGATATGGGAATGGATCAAACTTTTAGAACCACGTAGCACCACTACTTGATACTACAACTCTTTGCTTTCTGTCTCATGAAAAATACGAGAAAAAACAGTTGATGGTACCCAATTGTGTTTGTTTGTATATAGTGAGTTTTCCCATGAAAAATGGTGAGTTTCCATAGTTATGTTAAATTAGCAGAGGGTACCCGTGATGTATCACCTTACGGTGGCGCCGCTGCAGCGGTGCAGGAAAGGTCCGAAAGGTCCCCGAAGTCAGCCGCGGCGCCGAGGCTCTGTCGAAACCATGGGGAAGGGATGAGTAAATCTGGGTGACTCGTAGTTTGTAACGGCTTAAGGCTTAATCTTTGGCCAAACATGGAGAATTTATGAGAATTTGAAGATCAGTATCTGAAAAAACGATTCTTGAAAGTGACTCGTAGGTAGCAATAGGCGGTCTTTCTTCTAGTCAGGATTTGAAGGAATCAAACAAGTCACACCAAACGCTGCGTTGCAAGGTGTCAAAGGTTCGGCATCACAAAACCTGGCTGTTCTAGATGAAGCCTCAGTGTTCTCGAGATGTATGTTCCTATGCGCGTGTCTGGAATAGGATATACGTCAGGAATGGTTATTCAATAAGAAACATGATGATCACCTAATGACCTAATGTATTTAGGGCTTTCCTATGTTCAGACAAGCCCATACAGTATCAGAATGGCTCAATGGTTTCAAGCTTCTTTGGAATGAACAGAAATATGGCAGATGATCCTTCAGTATCAGACCATAGTATAATGCGTTCAACTTCAAAATCTGCCGCCAGGTAAGCAAAAATTATGAGGTCTTATGAATATCTGAAATCAGATGTCAAGTCTTAAACACATTTTGCTACAAAGTAATACTTTGATAATACAGATAAATTATTAGCACATTCAACAACTGGTCAAACCATCATGCCATCAAACCAATAGTAAAGATATATTATCAACAAATGGTTTATATTAGCAATGTAAACATATCAATTTGGTCAACATTACTAACATTACTAATGTTAGTTTACCATTGGCTTCAACATAAAGATATACTGTCAACAAATGATTATAAACTTTATGATCATACCAATAGTTGGAGATATTATTGGTCCCTGTGGATCCAAACACTGTCTGAGAAGGTACTTAACCCCCTAAATCATACCCCAAACACTTCCTAAGAAGGTACTTGGATCCATTTTTTCTATATATTTTGTACATATCTTACGGTAATGATCTAATTTCTATATGTTTTGTATTACTGTATCATTTAGAAATTGAGTGATCCATAGGGAGTAATGTATCATTTAGTACTGTTCAAACCGGTCAACACCATGGCAGGAGCAGTGTGCGGCAGATCCAGTGGCTTCAACAACCCGGAGGTGGTTTTTTGTGCCCCAAAAAGGATGGGAAAATTGGCACTTCACCATGAAAAACCAACAATAATGATGGAAAAACCATCAATCATGATGGAACATGGATGAACATGCTGATTATAAACCGGCCAAAAAAAACTTCTTGGTTGATTTGAAACACGCTGTTGGGTTTTATATTTAGATAATTGATGAGAGGTAAGTTGGTAAGCATAACTACGCGGCTGAAATTGTTTTTTATATGTATGTGTTGTTATGAACAAGTTTATCACTGGGTTTTTTTCCTGTAGGTCCTTTGCTTAAGTTTTGAGTGATAAATGCACAAACTATTCAGCTACAAATTATGAATTATCCTTTTTTGTTGGATGTAGATTTACTGTGACCATACTCGTGAATTCCGTGGTGATGTTTGTTGATGGGTTCATTAGGTTGTGAAAAAAACATCCAATTTCTGTACCAAAAAATGGGGTGGCCGGGTTCTGGAAGACTCGTAATTTTCTCCGGTGGTTTCTGCTGGTGACTTCCCCAATCATATCCATCCGATTCATGAAAGAATTGCATTACAAGGACATTTGCATAGACTTTCTGATATTTGATCGTTGAAACCAATGTTCCTCAGCCTTTGACTGGCCCATGGAGCCAGTCTGATTTCTTCAGCCACCTCCCATCCATCAGGTGATGGGGATTTGAGCCCTTGCAATGAGTCAGAGGATGAAGCTCAGGCAGATGGATCGACGTGAGTGACCTGGGGCTGGAGTAGCTGGGGCGCCTTGAGATATGATGAATTATGATGATCTTGATCCCCTTTAGGGATCAAAAGCTTGGTTTCAACATGGAAATATACATGGTGAAGGGATGCAGATGTTCATGACCCAAATGTTGGCAGGATAGGTCTCGACCGTGCGGATGGTATTTGGAGGAACCTCATTGATTGATTCCAGTGATGACCACCAAACTCTGAAACACTTCCATACTGGAAGGGCCATTCCCTGGATTTCCTGGCTTAAGGTGACCGTTTATTTTCCCATTTGTTAACCCATCATTTGGGGAATCTGGAGATATGTGTGACAGCATGTTTTCTCGTCCTAAGCAAATCTGAATTTAACTAATTACTACTTAAATGATAAAAGTAGGATAAAATAGGTATGTCCAGAAAAACTTCGGCATCCCCCAAGTCCACTACCATTTTTTTGGGGGGGAAAGAAACGGTGGCGTTCGCCTCAATCCCGACGAGGCTTTGGATTAAAACATTGCCAAAACTTGGGTAGTTCTTGTCGCAAGCACACTTGGATGGTGCCAAAATGATCAGTAGGATTAGTGGAAATCGTCAAGCAATTGCCTTACAAAACGCTTGGCATTGGGATGTGAGATTCTTCAAATTGCTGATTCTGAGATCAGATTGATAGTTTTATCGATCACATACCCTCTGGTAAACATACAAAAAGCTATTGAAAATGGCCATTTACAGTTGATTTTCCCATTAAAAATAGTGATTTTCCGTATGTTTACCAGGCCGGGTAGATCACCAAGAAAATCCGAGAAGCCACCTCCCCATTTGTTTCCGCCAGGACATCGGATCCTTGAACCTCCCAGAGTCCCTGGGCTTGGAGGACTTTGACCAACTCTGAGCAGCGACACCACGACCGCCAAGGTTCAAGGTACCCGGCCTGGTAAACCTACAAAAAACGATGGAAAATCACCATTTTTAATGGAAAATCAATTGTTTCTATGGCCATTTTCAATAGCTATGTTAGTTTACCAGAGGGTGGTGTTGATGGGATGATTCCCGTGAACAGCTTGGCGCAGTGGCAGAAGTTACCACATGTGTTGTGGAATCTGTCGGAAAATGAACGCGGCCGGGGCCGCTTGAGGCTTGTTGCGACTGGCATGTTGCGGTGACATTCTGGGATGTTTAACAAAACACTAGGCTGTAGCCTGTTCAACTTGGTATCATTCAAGTAGCAAATGATCACTCACGGGATCCAATCAATCAACCAGGCTTTGTTAATTTTTTAGGTGGGTATATCAGGAAATGGAACATGTTTGTCGCTCATTTGTTGACGCACCCAGGTTGCTACGCTACCTCCATGTTGACCAACTTGTGACAAGGCATTCCAAGAAAAAAATGAAACGACTAGAATCATCATGAGGGCTATTTGCAATCCTCAGAATATTTACCCCTTATATACACTGGTTCAAAAGTCAAAGATGGGAAATTAATTTGCTATGCAATAAAGTCATGTGTAGGAATCATTAACTTTGGAATTCCTAGCAGGAAAGACCTGATACACCTAAATAAAGATTTTACTTGGATAAACAATTGGCATAAAGATTCCTATCAGAACACAATACCAAAATCAAAGACATCAGGTTTCCCTCTCCGCTCACTCTCTGAGGCGCCCAATGTTGTGGGTCTGCGACTCAGAATGTCTAGGTCATAAAGGGGTCACCGGTTTGGGTGAATTATCCCTACAAAATCATGGAAATAAGAATTCAACCTTGGATTTTGGATGAAAAAACACACCAAAATAATTGCACATATACTGTAACAATTCAACCTTGGATATTAGATGGAAAAACAGAGATACTGAAATAGGCTCAGCTGTTCAAGTCGTTTTTTGGAGATGTTCACTAGAGTACCGGGGCTTGGCCCACACCAAGATTTGTTGCTTTCCGATTGATCCCGGAGTTGCATCAATGATTATTGCCAGAAATGCATCTGAGCAAAAAGGTTTCAATACCTTTCATAAAGGATCATAAAGGTATTTAACATATACTGTCTCTTCGAAAATATTCCAATTCAGTTTCTACAAACTTCTATTTTCTCACTCTATCTATATATATATATAACTATATATATATATAACTATATATATATATAACTATATATATATATATACACATACATACATATGCAAAACTGAGAACTGGTTTCAACTGGCGCTTTTTGTTCCGAAATCCGTGGAGACGTCGCTGTCCAGCTTGACCAGGCAACTTGGCGCTGGCATATTCGGAGGCGGAAACGACTGCCGGTTGGGAGACAAACGGACGGCGGATCTGGGCCTCAAACCTATCATTGCCATGTGAAAAACAGGTCACTTAAAATCAGAAAATATATGACAAAAGTCTGGACCTGCGCACAGACATAAGGTTTCTCATGCATGGAGGGATGCAAATGCATAGAAATCATATCTATTATATATATATATATACATAACATCCATTAACATCTTATGATAGTTACCAGCTATTTTGATACGAATTACAGGTACAGTCTGGTTTTCGCGAATCCCCGCTGTTAGTTTTTCAGTTGGCAGTTTGCTATTCTTTGGGTTCACGGTGTGACATGCCACCAAGTGCGGCTCATATGACCGCTGAAAGCATCGGGACGGGCTCAAATCCTGTCCTGTTGTGCCTTCATGACAAGCAGACTTTGACATCCTTGGTAGCTTTGCGTGTTCCAATAAATCTCCATCGTTGTTGGTTAAATTCCCAGCATCTAAGTGTTCATGTCCTTACGATATTTCCCAGTTACTAATAACGACTCTGTTTCAGAGTTCGATTCAAGCCTCGGAATTGGACGCGTCCCGGCCATTTTCTGATCCCGCGGGATCTCGATGACAAATGATCTTCGCCAATCAAAGATGGTGGTGCCATCGCGTCCTTCCAATCTGACATCTTGCAGCTGCAAGCACAGAGATTTCTGACTCAGATGGTGCTGATTCAACATATTCAACATTGCTGCTGGAAGAGATCAGAAAGGTGACGAAACATGTTTCGGTGACGACCTGAAGAAGGCTGTTGTGCCTGCCTGCGGGGCATTTGGTGGAGCAAAGACAACCTTTTCAACTTGGGCTGTGTTGGATTGCAAGATGTTCTGGACTTGCGACACAATGATCTTGATGACCCTTTCGTTGAGGAGTGCTTTGGATTGATAGAAAACCATGTTTGCAGCCTCGATTATATCAACTTGAATGACAGTCGGATTACAACAGAGGGTGCACTGCGGTTGATTCGCGCACTTGAGAAACGATGGAACATCGATCATCGGCTGCCGGAGCTCTTATTGCTGCACCGGAACCCAAATTGACGATTGCGGCAAGGTTGAGCAAGCAGCAAAAGATGCAGGTTTTCAATGTGAAGCTGGCACAGCTTGGACGAAAATGGACAAGCTGCTTTGACTCACAAGGATTTGTGGTCAGATTGTTTTGCTGGACCAGCTCAATTGTTGAGAACCAACATTTTGGAACAAATGGAGAGAATGCCATTGGCACATGACCCACTGCGAACCCATTCCACCATGCATAATCGCCTATGTTCGCATTTGCGTGGTGATCGTCACCGTAAGAATCTTCGGGATTTATGCTTTTTGAACTCTGAAAAACATATCCCTCTCATCCTCATTGTGTCGCCCACAGTAAGTTTCACTCTGCATCCTCTAACTGGTGAAGTATGTTGCTTTGAGAAGTCCTCGCATGCTATGGTGGCCATGCCTGAACCTGAAGCAGATGCGTATACTGTGGAGCTTCGCCCTGATGGGCCTGACCCCAAACATCTCCAAGTCGTGAGTTCAGAAGGCCGTGCCTCCTTGGCAATGCTCGAGCCGGAGTTAGTGTATGAGATTTAGTGCCTCACAGCCAAGCACAAGAATTTCCATGGCCCCAGTCTACAAAACACGAAAGAATGAGACTGTGGGTCATGGATGTGCACTACACTCAAAAAGCCATCTCCAAGAGATTCCGAGATGGGAGGTGGCTAGAAGAATTGATTCGGGACTTATACATGTGGAATGTGGACCCGTGCAACCATTCAAATATGTGTTTGGAAGTGGTGAAGTACCAGGAACATTTCTACAGCAACGACAATCGCCGGCTCTTTTGTTTGAGAAAGCACCAATAAAAGTTGGAAGAGACCGGGTGGCAGGTGTGGGTGCAAGCTCGGGTGTTCAATTTTGACCACTTACTCAATCGAATGAGGGAGAGGTGGCAGGAAGGCACAGCGCCGGGTGATGGAATAGCCCTGGATCCAACATGATCCAACATGGCATTAGCTTGGTGGTTTTAAATATCCAATAAAAAACTGATGGTAAAAGCCTGGTTATGCCTGGTTCGATTTTTCAAACATCTTGACATTTCTTGGTTTACTCAGGATGATTTTTGGGACACGGGTGGCTGAACCACCAACCACATAAGTTTTTGATGCTTTTGCACTTTGCAGGGGGCCATGACTGAAGGTCATTGGGCTCAACTTGCCGAATTGAACATTGCAGGGACCAAAGACGCACGGACCAGCAAAATAAACGTTTTGTCAAGCCACAAACAAGGCAACCTATCGACAAATTCGATGTAGGGCCTACAAGTCATGGCCTGAAAGTTTGACAGCCCCAGGCCCCAGTTGCTTTTGGAAACAGCTCACTTGCCCACCGTCGCAGTCACAAGTCTACATCCCTGAGCTCTATGAATCCGTGGCGCAGGCGGGTGTCATCACCATGGGTCAATGTGGGCAACATGAGAACACGGTTCTAAAATGTGTTCCATTTTTTCTTGAAAATCACAACCAAATGTAAAATGTAGCAATCCAAATCATGTAGAAACGGAGAATTCGAGTGAACTTGTGAATGACTTTTTTTTGGGGGGGGGGATTACTACTGTATATTAGATCCATTGAAATGACCATCACACTGTGATGTGGCTTTGTTTACCTATGAACTGTCCCCACCTTTCATCCTCCCGACCCGGTGCCAGGTTTGCGTTGCGTTGATTCATGATTTTAAGTTCCTTGGTGACCGGATGAGGGCTGCCAGGTTTGCCAGGTTGGCCCAATGGCCCAGGGGACCACAGATTTGAGCCTATTTTTTGGTAGGCAAGATCCAATTTTAGGGGTATTTAAAATTGTGACCCATACCCCCATGGAGTTTGAAACATCCTGCTTTTTTGGGATAATGAAGATATGAAAATAATTTGAAGAGATAGATAGATAGATAGATGGATAGATGGATAGATGGATAGATGGATAGATGGATAGATGGATAGATGGATAGATGGATAGATGGATAGATGGATAGATGGATAGATGGATAGATGGATCGATCGATCGATCGATAGATCGATAGATCGATAGATCGATAGATCGATAGATCGATAGATAGATCGATAGATCGATAGATCGATCGATCGATCGATCGATCGATAGATAGATAGATAGATACATAGATAGATCGATAGATCGATAGATCGATAGATCGATAGATCGATAGATCGATAGTTAGATAGTTAGATAGATTAGATAGATAGACATAGATAGACATAGATAGAAAGGATAGATAGATAGATAAGATTAGATTAGATTAGATTAGAGTAGATTAGATTAGATTAGATAGATTAGATAGATAGATTAGATAGATAGATAGATAGATAGAAAGATAGATAGATAGATTAGATTAGATTAGATTAGATTAGATAGATAGATAGATAATAGATAGATAGATAGATAGATAGATGGATGAATGGATGGATGGATCGATAGATCGATAGATCGATAGATCGATAGATCGATAGATAGATGGATGAATGGATGGATGGATCGATAGATCGATAGATCGATAGATCGATAGATTAGATAGATTAGATAGATTAGATAGATAGATAGATAGATAGATAGATGGATAGATAGATAGATAGATAGATAGATTAGATAGATTAGATAGATTAGATAGATAGGATAGATAGATTAGATAAGATAAGATTAGATTAGATTAGATAGATAGATAGATAGATATAATGTCCAGGATGGTATAGATGATGTTTTCCCATGTTTTCCAAGTGTTTTCCCCGGTTTGAACTGTTCTGTCATTTTGGGGATGCCACGAATTTCCGGCACGGGGGTCGCACTTGCCCCCGCTGAAGGTGGAGGTAGGGGCCCAGCTGACTGTAGGGTAGGGGCGAATGTGACTTGACCTCCTTTTGCGTGGCAGGCTCTACAGACGGGCAAGGATCGTTTTCCAGCTGTGACTCAGCTCTAACATCCCTTTCGAAGAAACTTGCAAGACGCTTTGGATGATGTTGCAACATCCGTGCCAAGCATCTTCCAAGACGCTTTGGATGCTACTTTGTAGCATGCAATTCAAGGAACTTCAAACCTGTTCTGCGTGCTACGTTGTAACATTCATTTCAAGTAACTTCCCAGACGTTCTGCATCATACATTGCAACAACCATTTCAATCAACTTCCAGGACGGTCTGCATGCTACGTTGCAGCAACCCTTTCAAGCAACTTCCAAGAAGCTTTGGATGCTACTTGTATGTTGTAACATCCGGGCCAAGCCTCTTCCAAGACGCTCTGGATGCTACGTTGTAACATTTCCAGTATCTTCCAAGACGTTCTGGATGCTATGTTGTAACATCCATTTCAAGTAACTTCCAAGACGTTCTGCGTGCTACATTGAATCAACCATTTCAATCAACTTCTCGGATTAAACCTTACAAGGTTGAATAACTTATTAAGTATATAGAGAGATAAGTGACCCTGGTCCCCCCCTAACCAATGTCCCCAAGCCCCCCCTAAATATCCCTTATCCCCAGAGTAAACCTTGAAAGGTTGAATGATTTATTAAGTAGAAAGGTAATTGTGGTAGGGGCGAATGCGACCCTAGTTAAGATAGGGGCGAATGTGACCCTGAGGTAGGGGCGAATGTGACCACCGTCCCAATGTATATCCTTGTTTTGGAATTCAGCATGGCCCCAGACAAAATAAACTTGAATATGTTTTGTATATAACCAATAGGCATTTCAGTTGATTTCTGATTAGCCCGGACCCACTTCAAAGAAGATTCCTTTTTTGCTTGGGATGCTCACAACGCAACATTCTTCGAATGGCCTGGTCAGAGTCAACATGTTTGGGATAGGAAAGTCTATGAAGATCCTTTATTGGAGTCTGATTTTGGCTTGTGCTTTCAATATATGTCAATCATTTTACATTCAAATGAGAGTGGAAGTATGATCCCCAATTGACGCTATATATTTTTTAGTCATTCAGTCAACCAGTGAGTTGCCTGCTATGACTCCTACGTCTCGTGGTTGGCAGTCCACACTGACCATGGTGGCAAGTGGAAATTAGACCTGGAAGACAGTCTGGAGGAGGAGTCAACCCTCTGAGGACAAGGTTTTCACAACAGGAGCGGAAACATCTTATCCGGAAGCTGTGGGTAAGGAACACGCACGCACAGATGCACCTTCAGTTCAATTTTTTTGTGTTTAGAATTAGGCAGAGGGAGTAAGCAAAAACCGTCATAAACAATAAATACCTAAATAATTCCTAAATATCAATTCCAGTCAATGAACAAATAGATAGACACGTACCAATAACTGAACATGCATGCATACAGATATACAAGTCTGGCTAAATTGTAACGACCCCTCTGCGACGTCACCAGAATGGTTAGTAAGGGAAATCATCCCCAAGTGGCCATATGTTTTCAGTTGTTTTCAGCTTAGTGAATTATATAGTTCAGCCAGATATGAGGTTACAAATACATAGTATAACCATGGTTATACCCCCCAAAAGTTGGGATATAAACCTTATAACCGTGGTTAATCATGGTTATGTATCCATTATGGGGTTTTAGACTCCAGACTCCCATGGTTATGGCCATGAAAGTCACTTCAACTGTACCCCCCAAGTAGGTGACAGATCATATATCCCATTATATTCCCATATATATTCCCATCTAAATCCCATGAAAATCCCATGAAAATCCCATGAAAAATACCCAGAAGTGTGCCGAAAGCCTCGCTTAGGCCCAGGCAACTCGTGACCTTGGCCGGCTCCTTTGCCAAGGCCCAGGCCTGGAAAAGGACAAGAAGTTGAACCGCGGCCGGGCGGGTGGCGGTTAGTGGTTATTTTGCACATAAAATATTTATCCAAATATTATATACTCATTGTATGTATCTATTTTATTTATTTAAATGCTTATTTTATTCATTTATTTATTTACTTATGTATTTGTTATATACGCAACAGTATGTATACATATCTATTTGGTGGTGCTGTTCCATTTTTATTTGGATATATAACTACAATTAGAGGGAGTATATCCCAACTCATGGAGTAATTCCCATGGCTCTATCTATTATCATTATTATTGATTGCCACATGAATCTGAAAGACCATCGATCTAGCAATCTACAAATGATTTGAAGGGTTTGGGACCTAACTGCCAACTGTTTGTTGGTTCAATCTTGTATTACGCCGTTCATCAAGAAAAATGGATAGGAACCACAGACTACATGAAGATTCATGGTTTCAAATCTGAGGGTTTCCATGCCATCAAAGCTGGTGACAGAGATGGAAGGGCCATGGAATGTCTGTGGCGTTGTTGGCCGTTTTTTTTTGAAGCGCGTTGACGAAGTTTTTCCAACATGCTGGACCCAAACATTTCAAACAAAGAGCAAACCTTTGTATATATATATAATTATATATATATATATATATATTATATAATTATATATATATTATAATTATATATATATTATATATGTAATTATATATATATACACATGCCCACAGCAAGATGGAAGACCCATTTATTACCAATTCACTGGGATTTTGCTCTCTATCGTCTTTAGTGGTTGCTATATTATAGCTATAAGACTAGGGTGCTATTCACCACAGCTCTGGTCAAGCCACATCTTCACTCGTGCAGGTGAAACATGACGCCCTCTTCAAGCGGCTTTGGCCTAACGTTTATTCACCCTTTTGCATGGGGATGGTGATATCACCATTAGCAGTACTGTGGATTTATATATATATATACATATTATATATATATTATATATATTATATATATACACATGATAATAATTCCCAATAGATATGGAAATGTGTGTTTTGACCACGGCACTTAATTAAATGTGTTGCGAATCTACCGGGGCGTTCACGGGGGGTTCCTGATGAAACCAGGGTTTTCTCTGGGTAAATATATATGTATATATATATATATGGGAATAATATGGAATTTCATCATCCCAACTGACGAAATCATATTTTTCAGAAGGGTTCAAACCACCAACCAGTGTGTATATATATATATATATATATATCTAGGTAAATTATAACGACCTCATTGCGACCTCACTGGAATCATGATTAATAAGGGAAATCATCCCCAAGTGGCCGCAAGATTCAGGTTAGTGACATAGTGTAATTTACCCAGATGTGTGCAAAGGTGATCAGAGGTTCACATGTTAGGGCTATGATTTTGGTCTCCCTGCTGACGGTTGCTACTTGTCTACTAAAAGTAGCTGTCGAGTGAATCCACCACAGAAATCCCTCTGGTACCAGAAGTGGGCTGACCAGGCATCCAGGTGGGCGGGCACCAGTCAACCTATGTCAACCTACAACAGGTAGGTCATGATTAGGTCATGTTTGTTGGATCTAGAAACATCCCTTTTCGTGGCGGGTCAGTGGTTTTGAGCAATACCAAGTCTTCAACTATTTTGGCGGGTGACACCCTTTTTGGATCCCTTTGGCTGGTTACATAGCCCCCATCTTTGATGGTGAACATCTAAGGTTTCTATGTCAAAATCCATATTTGGACCAGGTGTATGAGCAAACACGTGGCGAAGAACGTGGAAGATTTCCAGAGAGAAGACCTACAGGAGCCGTGGTGAAGACTGGGATGAAGCCCGGGTGGTGAAATTGAAAAGTTGGATCAAATGGCTACTTAGGGGGTGCAGTTGATGTTACAAATGAGGGTAACCCCGGGTTATAAACCCCATAAGTTGGGATGTAACCCACATATATCATATATCCACTTATAGCTGGAACTGCACTTTCAAGTATGGGTCAAAGCCCTGTATCAATGGCCATTTCAAGAGAGGTACCTACCATATATAAGGCCTTTTTTTAAGGGCTAAATTTCAGGGGATATCCCCCCCAAAATATGGCCAAACATATGGTACAATTCCGTACCTCCATTTTAGGATCCTGGAGATCTCCCATTGAATAGATGTATTTCCCATTTACATACCATTTAGTTCAAGGATTTTCCCAGCAGTAAACCTCCATTTACAGAACATGTTCCTGGTGAACATTTACAGTAAGTCTGCTGAACATCGAAACAATTGGTACCTGCTCATCCCCAGACTGGTCTGGTGATTTCGGAAGTCACCGAGTCACCGAGTCACGACATCGCAGAGTCGAATCCGGGCGAATGAGAGTCGTTACCATCAGAAAAAGTAACTGGAACATAGGTTGGCACCTCCTAAATCACGAAAAAACCTTGATAGGCTGGTGCCAGCACTTGGCTGGTGATTTTTTTATAGATTCCCATGTTCAGTGAAATAGTGGAATATTTTTCAAATATCTTGAAGAGATGTGGAACATAGGAGTTCCCATCATCAATAAATACTTCTTCGGACATTAGGATGATGAAATTAAATATTGCGTTGACCCTGAAGTATCCCAACCCAAGAGAGAAGGAAGGCCATTGTGAGTGAAAAAATGTACACGTTCCGTTGATTGAGCACCAATTCTTGAGTTTCCCACATCCTTGAGGTACCTATCCTGCCACAAAAAATGATTTCGACTGTAGCCATTTTGTTCAGGTCTGCATGAAAATCTTGTGCACACTCTTGCTGCCTCACTCCCAATTCTTGCCAGGATCTGTTCAATGCATTTCAGGCGTGGCCTGCAAAACCTTCCAAGTTCTTTTGGGTTGATGTTTACCTTGGGGTCCGCATATATGGTATTCTTGCCACATCCAAGTTTCCTGTGGCTGTTGAGATCATTTGAGATCTTATCATGTGGAATAACGGGCGAGAAGAATTCAGAACTGGGAGTTGGTTGTAACCATTCTGTGAAAATCATCGACTAATCAATCACCAAGAATGATTTCAAAGATGAATGGGTTGATCAATCTAGGTTGTTCTTTTGGGTTTTTGGGAACTTATCAAAATTCCCCATTTCTTTTTCGGGGCACCCCAAAACAGGTTAGTTCTCTTTGTCTTCAAATTTTTGCGCCTCAAAGGTTGGCCAACCCTGAAAACCAGTGTGTTCTGCATAGAGCTTCTTTGAAAATATGGTACCCAAAGGATTTATATATATATATATGTATGGGGGGTTCCATAAATGGGGATATCCAAAAATGGATGGGTTATTTCATGGAAAATCCAAAAATAAAATGGATGATTCAGGGTACCCCAATTTTAGGAAACCTCTATATGTATATATATATTAACATGTATATATATAAATATATTGTTTTTTTTCAGGATGTTGCCCACTAAAAGTGCCATTTTGGGATGCCTCGGTGGACTTTCCATTGGGACAATCGCCCCATGTCTTGCTGAGTACAGCGTGTGGCCGGTGGACGTATCGTTGGTATTTGTTGTTTTTTAATCCCACTACCCATAGGATCCATGGTGCTGGTATATATAAAAACATAAAGGGGGTATATTGATGGGATCCATGTTACCATATATAGATATATACAGCATACATGGATCCTATGGTCCTATGGGCTATATACTTGTCTTTATGTTATTGATCCCTTCCTATCCCCCATGAAATCTCATTTTCTTGGCTGTTTCATCCTCTTAAATCCTGCTGACCCCCTTTTGGTATTCCATGAAACCTAAATCACCATTAAATTCTATTTCATCCATATATATTGACATCAATCCCATGAAATCACAATGAAAAATCGCAAGTATGTCATGAAATATCTGATGAATCCCCATCTCCAGTGAATCCCCATGGCCGAAAAACGAAAACGTGGAACTTTCGCAGGCCCTGGGCGTTTCGAAAAACGAAGTCCAACGGGCACTGGATGAGCAGGTGCCCGGCAAATGCGGCACTAGCACGATGGGGAAAGTTATGTCTGACGGGATTGATTGGAAGTGACTGGGGATTTATCATATATATATATATATTATATATATCATATATATATATATCATATATCTTATCTATATCAATATCAATATCTATATGTCATGGGAATTTAGAAGTTAAGAAAGATCTGGAGATATTTGACGCGGTAGAATGGGGATTTAGCAAGGGAAATCGGGACTTGAATGCCGCTTTTTTGGGGATATGAACATCCATATTTATCAGCATGGAAGACTTTTTTTTAAAAAAATATCTAAGTATGGGATCCATCATGACCTAAGCATTTCCCATAAATCCGTTTCTCCAAAAACATGGAATACCCCAAGGATGCCAGTTTCAAGGAACATGTTTATTTTTAAGGTTGGGAAAATTATGGGCAAACAATGTTCTCAGGCATGACATGTTGGGATACCTTGTTTCCAGACTGAGCCATGTAGTGAGCAACAAAGATCGTTTGCCCACTTAACACCCATTGTTGATGGATAAAACGGGTATGTAACTATATATGGCGTTGTTATCAACCAAAACATGTGGAAAACATGTGGGAATGAACCCGCAAAAATTGCTGGGTATTGACCGATATGGAGAACAACCCGCAAATCATGGTTTATTACTAGATGATTTGATGGGAATCTACCAGCGGAAATCTCTGAAGCTATATCGAAATATGGATCATGGTTGAATCCCAGTGAAATCCCCCAGTTATCTGCACATCTCATGCCAAATGGTGAGCCATGCCCTCCAGTAAATTAAGCTATGGAAAATGGTCCGTTCGTGCATGATTTACCATGATTTACCATGATTTACCATGATTTACCATGATTTGCCTACTGCAGAAAATGGTGATTTGCCATGGTTGCGTTAAAGTACCTGAGGGTACATAGTTCTCTATATCACACTTCACTTTTTCTTTACTCATCAATCACTCAAAATCACCATGGATTCGAGCTACAAATCCTGCCTTCTCTGTAACACGTCCTGCCTTACGTTCGGTCAGGAGAAGGGTCCTGCGGCTCCATTGAGTTTGCGCACATTTCTGTTGATCGCAGTGGCCTCAACCCCCGCCCTTTTTGTGGCGGTTTTTGGAAGATCTTACAGCTGAAACTCCACTGGATGGTTTCAGAAATTCTTATCTGGTTTTGTTTCAAAATTGGGCTAAATCCTAAATTTCATGGTTATTAATAACCATATTTCCCATGAATTTGATTTCAAATTGATAGTTCATGGTATACTCATCTGAATTGGATTGATGATCCGAATACATTATTTTGCAGTTTGAAAAAATCAGCCAATCATCTAAATTCTGGCTCAAAGCATGAAATTGAACCTCGTTCTATATTATATCAACCGAACTTCAATTTTTGGCGAATTAGACCGATACACCCTGCGGAAAAGCATTTCTTTGGGTGGGAATTCAATGATAAATCTTGGGGAAATGATTGGGTTCAATACACCATTACAAGAGATACTTGAATAATGGATAAAATATTTATTATGCAACATTTTGACTTTTTGACCATGAAATTGTCGAAATACTATATGGATTTTTTGAGCGTATCACAATAATCCTGTTGAAACAAATCTAGTCGAAGATTTATCCCAATTCGTAAATTCCTCGCCCATTTACAATAAACATTATTTGACCTATATTTAAAAACTGGGATGAACCGCCAAATCCTGTCCAATTTCTCCATATTTGGAATATTGATTCGATATCCGGCAACCCAGGTCGCATTAATTCTTTTGACATTGGTGGTATGGAGGATCTAGAAAATATTATAAATATATATATATATTAATATATGGTGATTTAATTTATTTTATTTTTTTATTGGAAAATAAAATAAATAAATATTAATTATATATATATATATTTAAAATTATTATCTAAATTTCAAATAATATTATTAATAAAATATATATATATATATATTTATTTTATAAAATTTGAATAATAATAATATTAAATATTATTAAACATATTTATAATATAATATAATATAATAATAT